AGCAAAGATCATGGTAGGAGTAGGAAGAGAAAGCCAAGATAAGGAGGACATCAAAGAAGGGAGGGGAACCAAGAAAAGAGAAGAATGAAGGCAGTGACAGACTGCCCAAGGACTCACGGAATGGAGAATGTTTTCATTGTGGGGAGAAGGGGCATATTCAAAGGAATTGTAAGAAATTTAAAAGAGACCAACAGTTATTATAGAGACCTGGAGGTGGAAAAGGTTGGGGATAGTGATTAGGGGTGTCAGGGGCTGTACCCTCTGGGAGAGATATATAACCATAAATTTGAGCCCTTGATAAATTTAGAGGTAGGACCCCAGGGGGAAGCATTTGAATTTTTGGTAGATAAAGGAGCTGATCAGTCTTGTATTTCTAAATTGTCAAAAGGATGTTTGATAAGTGAAGAAAAATGCAAAGTAAAGGGGGCTAGTAATAATCCTTTTGAAGTGTCGGTGGTTCGGTGAGTGACTATAAGTGGTAACTCGAGGGAAGGGATAGTTGACTTTCTGTATATGCCCCAGTTAAGCTGTAATTTGCTAGGAAGAGACTCTCAGATTCAACTGGGTATTGGGGTAATACTGGAACATGGAAATATGGTAGCTAGAATGTTAATGCTGGAACCAGTTAATGAGGAAAGAATAAATCCTGTGGTATGGGCTGAGGCAGGAAAGTGAGGGGTACTAAACATTCTGCCAATAGTAGGAAACATGAAACCAGGGACTCCTCCAATGAGGATAAAGCAATACCATATCTCTGCTGGAGGAAGGCAAGGATTAACCCCAGTGATTTGTGAACTAGTCCAGGAAGGCATCCTGTTGCCAATCAAAAAGCCAGATGGAACCTATAGATTGGTACAGGATTTGAGAAAAATAAATGAACAAATTGTTTCTAGATATGCTGTGGTAGCAGACCCCTATACATTATTAGGGGTACCAGGAGGGCATGCCTAGTTCAGTGTTATAGATCTTAAAGATGCCTTCTGGGCTTGTCCTTTAGCTGAGGAGACTAGGGCCTGGTTTACCTTTGAGTGTTTTGATAAAGCTACTGGAAGGAAACAATTCCACTGGATGCATCTACCACAAGGATTTACTGAGTCTCCTAATTTATTTGGGCAAGCCCTAGAGGAGATACTTCAACAATTACAGCTAAAAGGGGAAGTAAAGGTATTGCAATATGTTGATGGCTTGTTAATATCTGGAAAATCTAAGGAGGATGTTCGAAGTCCTACAATTGAGCTATTGAATTTTCTAGGAGAAAGAGGTCTGAAGGTCTCCAAGAAAAAAGTTTGTAGAGCCCGAGGTGAGATACTTGGGCCACATAATTGGAAAAGGATGTAAGAGATTGGAACTGAGTCGGGTGCAATGGATTCTCTCATTGCCAGCACCCAAGACCAAAAGGGATGTACAAAAATTGTTAGGGTAATTTGATGCTGTAAATTCTGGATAGATGGACATACTAAATCAGTTAAGATTTTATACAAAAAAATGGTCCAAGAAGAGCTTTTAAACTGGGATGAAAAGGATGAACGTCAGTTAAAGGAACTAAAAAGGACACTTATGATGGCTCCAGTATTAAATCTACCAGGCCTAAATTGTTTTTTTTTAATTGTTTACCAATGTTGATAAAGGGGTAGCTTATGGAGTCTTGACCCAGGAGTGGTGTGGGATATGCAAGCTGATAGCATATGTTTCCCGATTGTTAGATCCAGTGGTTCAGGGATGGCTGATGTGTTTACAGGCTGCAGCAACCACAGTGGTCTTGGTTGAAGAGAGACAAAAGCTAACATTTGGAAATAAAATCAAAGTATATACTCCCCATGATATAAAGGTTGTATTAAACAAGTGGGCAAGTCAGTGGCTTACCGATAGCTGCCTATTAAAATATGAGCTAACTTAAAATAATACTGAAAATTTGGAATTAACTACCAGTAAAGTGCAAAATCTGGCACAATTTTTATATGGAGAGCCCAAGGAGACTGGAACATTGGTGTCTCAAAGCCATTGATTTACAAACCAAAGTGTGATAGGATCTATTAGAGCAACCTTTGATAGAGGGAGAAATTGTGTTTGTGGATGAGTCATCAAGAGTGGTGGAAGGGAAAAGGCTATCTGGATATGCAGTTACTGTGTGGACTTGGCTCCACCAAAGGACAGAGACTGTGTACAGGGAGCAGTGGTGGCTGGCAGAGAGGTGCATCCTGTACATGCTCCATGTATAGGGGCCAGACCGGGAGACTATGATCCGGAGTTTGCAGAGCATCCTGGAGGAACACACAGTGACACTGGTCCAGGGCACCATCAACATCATTGTGAGACACTGCAGCTCAGGGGCCCAGAGGCTGCTGCACTCCTATGCTGCTGCAGATGAAGAAGCCCAGAAGTCCAGAAGCTAGCAGCAGCTCTAGTTCTTCCAGCTCCAGCTCCTCCAGCCCCAACAATTTGAGCTCCAGCTCCTCCAGCTCTTACATGGGGACTCCAGCCAGCAGCAGCCCTGCAGTCTCTATGGAGGAGGAGGGAGCCACCACAGGAGAGGCTGCCACTCAGGGGTCACAGCCACTCCACAAGTGTCACCATGTCCACAGGACAGGACTGGCCCCAGAAGAAGCCAGAGCAGGAGGTGGTGATGTTGGCAGGACCCTCTGCCTGAAGCAGTAGGCCCAGACATCGAGATGAAAAACGAGGGATGGGACCACCATGCTTTGAGATGGTTTATTGCTCAAGTAAGTCAGATAAAATATCTGAAGGTGTGAGATTTAGAGGAGCAACAAGTCAGCCATGAGTTACTTCTTCACACAGCAACATATAACATTTTGGTCCACAGGACAGTTGACATGAAACTTGTTTCTACTTATTAACCTATCATCTTTGCTTAATTTTGCTGCCCTCCCTCTGTCTCTTAGCCAATAAACTGACAGGTCACATACTCATACACACACATCTATTTTAGATGCTAGATCTCTAACCTACTGTATAAGTCAGATTATTTGAGTTCAAACTTCGAACTATTTTAATATAATTCCTTACTTACTCAAAACATATTCTTACTCATAACTATAGGAACATAAGTTTATAATTTTACTACTTAATGTTTGTATACCTTTATCATTACATTAACCCAAGCTCTTTCTAAGGCTGCAGATTAAGTCCTTCAGCATCTGTAGAATTTTCTATTTTTCCATTTCCCACATCTACTCTTTCCCTCTGCACTAAAAAAACTCCATTAATGGATTTTCTGGAATGACAATGAATATGTTATCTAAACCTGAAGCATTAGCTAAATTCACATGAACATTGGTTCTAGGCCAACTAACTGGCAAAGCTAAACTACTAAAGGCAAACAAAGCAAAATTCAAATTTAACATTTGATTGAACTCCATATTTCTCTAAGGTTAACTTTTGGCAAAAGGTTCTTTTCTCAAATTTTTTAATTTTCAAGCAAATTTTTCAGCATATTCCTTTTTTGTTGTTGTTTGTTTGGGGTTTTTTTTTTTGTTTTGTTTTGTTTTTTTTGGTTTCTTCCTGTTTCTTCTTGTTCATGGACTAACCATGGATAAGATACAAAGTTATTCTGTACACATTTAATTTTTTAAAAACTTGGACATCTTCTGATTCTTTTGCAAATTCCTTCTTATAATGTTCTTCAAGAATAAGAAGGCAAGGGCTAATACTACACTTTTGCCAGAAGAGCTTTACAATACTCCTGTTTTTCACACCCTTTACAGTAACATAAAACCCAAAGTTCATAGATTTGCAGATGGAACAAAAATAATGTCCAATGTCCTCAGGGGAAATGAAAAATTACTATTGTTTTATGCTATTATAACTTTGTCCCCAGCTCCTCTGTTACCACTGTCCACTCCGCAGTGGGCAGGGAGGCCAACTTTTAGCTTGCCAGATGAGGCCCTAAAAATGAGGCTCTTTCCCTTTGCTGAGATGGCAGTTGCAGCTTTATTTCTTGGGATCCTTTGGGGTGAGATGGCAGGAGGGAAAGAGGAAGAGGTATCGAGAGACACTCCTTTTTCAAGGCAGGGGAAAGAGGTGTGGGGGAATTTACACAACCAATAAGGGGAGCTGGGGAGAACAAGATAAGGGAAAGAACTTCCAAGTCTACATTTTTGGGGTTACATTCTTTGGGTCATACCATTTTTCCTAACTGCATTACAACATCTCACCCTTTCTTATTATATAAAATTTTTGTTGAAGGGTTGTGAGATCATTTTGATACCAATCACAAGTTTGTCCACCTTTTATGATTGATGGGCCGGTTAAGTTGCTTCCGGTCTGCTAGCTCTATGTGGTTGATCTCTGAGGTAGTAGATACTAATTTTTTGAGAGCTTTTAAAACTAAACAGCAGACAATCCTGAAGGCTAGCATGATTAGAAACAGAACAACAAAAAACAACAGGATTGTTTTGATTATCGAGGTCCACCATCCTGTGAGTCCCCAGCCTTTGAACAGCTTACTAAACCAGTCCTCAGCTTCTTGCTTCACTTGTCTGATAAAGCTCTTCATCTCTCGGAGGGCTCCATGGACATCGCGAGCTTTTGAGGACAGGTTTAGGCAGCGAAGTCCTTCAAATTCCTGGCATTCGTGTCCAAGCTGAAGCAAAAGAAAATCTATAGCTGCCCTGTTCTGGAGGGTAGCTTGTCTGGTAATTTCTTCGTCTTCGAGGAGGGAGCTCAGGGCAGTGGATGTTAAGTTGGCCTGTTTCACTGCCCAGCATTCTAACTGTCCCAATTCACCTAATGCCTGGGCAGCTGCAATGCATGGAAGAAATATGGATACAGCAATTCTTTTTGATTTTGCCCAACGAAAAATGTCAGAATCACAATTTGGATCTAAAATGTCAGTGTTCCTTTTGTAAATTTTGTGGGTTGAATTTTCTTTTCGAATCCATTTTTTAATTTGGGTTTGGTTAGGTGCCAACAGGGACAGCCTCCCAAAGGTACATGGTCCTCCTCGAAGGCAAGATGGGATCCCTGCCCTCGCTCTATCTCCGCAAATCAGAAATATGCTTTTAGGGAGGGTTCTTGGATGTGAACAGAGAGGATCATCTGCTGTGACGTGATTCCGCACACTACACCATTGCCTTGCCTTAAATTTGTTTCGATGCTGTACTACATGGTGATATAATTTAGGGTCTGTCAGTGTGTTATACATAAAGTGGATACAAAAGGGTTCAGGAGCAGAACCTAATAGCTCTAATTCTTGGGGTTCTTTTTCTGCTCTGGGCAATTTTGCTAGCCACTCTTCTACAGGGTTTTTAACTGTTACCGTTCTCCGCTTACAGTTTTCGAGTGTTTTGTGATCTGTATTAAACTTGGCATCACTAAAGCTGGCTGAAAATTCTTCAGCCTGCAGTGGGATTCCTACCAGACAGGTGGACATAGGGTCTTTTGCTGCTGCAGTGACAGGCAGATGCTCTCTTGTTGGAGTGCTTGTGCCGGGGTCACCCAGATGTTCTGTTGTGGTTGAGGGACGATCCAGGCTGCTGTCAGGCTGCTCAGAGGGAGCAGGAGGATAGCTGAGGTAAGACTCATCATGGGTTTGAGTGTGAGGTTTTTTCTAAAAGAAAAGAAACAAACATTTTTAAAACATATTCACAGTCAATGTAAGCAGGTCAGAGAATAGCCAGAGGTTAGGAAGGTTTCTTCTTGATTTTCCCGGCAGCGTCTTCTTTTGGAAGTGACTGCCACTTGTCTCTCTTCTTCTTCTGCTGGGGCTGGGTTTTTGGGAACAAAAGGCTTTACCCATTTCTGAGGAATCCATCTAGGGCCTGTAGGAGTGGATACACACGTGTAACCATGCCCCCAGGTGACAAGTTCATAGGGGCCCTTGGTTTGCCAGGTTTCAGGGTCCCTGATTAAAACCGGTGGACGCTGTGAAAATTTAAACTGATCACCACTGTTAAAGTGCTGAGTAACTGGAGGATTCATATTTTCAAATTAACAGTTCAGGAAATTGATGGTAAACATAGCTTTGCAAAGCTTTTGCTGTGAAGACATCCACACTCTTCCAGTACTTTGCCTGGCTAGGACTTGTTTGAGTATCTGGTGTGTATGCTCAATCACCGCTTGACCTGTAGGGGAGTGGGGGATGCCAGTTTTATGTTCCACTCCCCACTGCTGGAAAAATTCCAGGAACTCCTTGGATTTATATGCTGGGCTATTATCTGTTTTAATTTCCTTAGGGATCCCCAGCACTGAAAAGGCCTGTACTGAGTGTTGTTTGGCATGTACAGATTTTTCTCCTGCGTGTGCAGAGGCATACACCGCTCCTGAGTATGTATCAATGCTCACATGTACATACTTAAGGCGACCAAAACTGGGAATGTGAGTGATGTCTGTTTGCCACACCTCACAACTTCTAAGGCCTCGGGGATTAACCCCGATGCCCAATGATGGCACTGCCTGGAGCTGACAATTGGGACAGGTGGCCACAATGGCTTTAGCCTGATCCTGTGTCAGCTGGAACTGACGCATCATTCCTGGCACATTTTGATGGTATTGCTGATGATTTATCTTTGCCTTTTGAAACACATCTGGGAGATGTGCCTTTTCAGCTGGGGCAGCAAGAGAATCAGCTTTCCGGTTTCCCTCAGCAATTTCACCTGGCAAATCGGAATGCGATCTTATGTGCATCACATAGAAAGAATGTTCTCTATTTGAAATCAAATCCGTTTTGAGAGCAGTCTAAAGAGATGTTTGTTCTCTATGTCCTTGAGAACTGCCTGTTCTGCTCTGGACCCCACTCCTGCTACGTAGGCTGAGTCAGTAACCAAATTAATCAGTTCTGAAAACTTCTCAAAGGCTCTTACCGCTGCAGCCAGTTCAGCTATCTGGGGTGGTCCTTCTACAAACTCAACATCAGCTTCCCAAATCTGAATCTGTGGATTTCTCCAAGTCATCACCAACTTGTGAGAAGTTCCAGATGCATCAGTGAACACTGTAAGAGCTTTGAGTGGCCTTTGGCTCCTTTTCTCATAAGGAATGAGGTGGAATTCCTCATGAAACAATTTGTGTGATGGTGCATGGACCGATATTTGCCCACTATAGCTGTCCAGAGCAAACTGAAGATTAGCATTGCTCTGCAGCAGATGCTCAAACATCTCTTTTGTCAGTTTCTCATGGGAGTTTTTGCCTTCTCCAGAGAGTCTGACTGGAAGGTGAATACACATAAGGTCACACCCTACCAGTTCTCACAGCCTTACCCTGGCCTTTTGGATCAGCTGAGCCATCAGCTCTTGTGGTTTGGTGATAGTTTAGGGTCGTTGATGGGAGAGGAAGACCCATTCTATTATTAAGAGTGGATCTCTCTGGCCCTCAGCCCACTGGAATATTAACCCATGTAAGTGTGGCAATTTCCCTAGGACAATAAATTTGAAAGGCAGCTCAGGTTTGAAGCGATGTACCTGTCTTTCTGTCAAGGCCCTTTGTGCCTTTTCAATTACAGTTTTTGCTTCTGGAGTCAGCTCCTTGGGAGACAGTAACTCTCTCTCCCCTTTCAATAAATTGAGTAGGGGGCTCAGGTGTTCATTAGTGAGACCTAGCCAGGGTCTGACCCAGTTTAGTGACCCACATAGAGAATGGAGATCTGCTAGAGTTTTAGGATTGCTAATAATTTCCAATTTCTGTGGAACAACAGTCTGTTTATTTATCTCTAAGCCCAAGTATTTCCAATGTGGCATCATTTGAACTTTGTGTTCCTGCAACTGGAATCCAACAGAGGTTAAAACTTTAACCACTAGGTCAAGGGTTTCTTGCAGCATGTTGTTATTGGGACAGCATTCTAACACATCATCCATATAATGCAAAAAGATGGCATCTCTTTTTACAGCATGCACTGAGAATAGCAATGGCCCCACATACCACTGGCAGATGAAGGGGCTCGCTTTCATCCCCTGAGGTAGAACTGTCCAGTGGTACCGTTTCATTGGAGCTTCTCGGTTAATTGTGGGAATGGAAAAGGCAAACCATGGTGCATCAGCTGGGTGTAGGAGAATTTGGAAAAAACAGTCTTTAATATCTAGCACTACTAATAGCCAATTTTGTGGTAACATAGTTGGGGACGGCATACCTGGTTGAAGAGACCCCATGTCCTCTACTTTTTTGTTTATTTCTCTCAAATCCTGAAGGAGGCGCCACTTATCTTTCCCTGGCTTTTTTATCACAAACATGGGGAATTCCAAGGGCTGGTTGTTTCTACTATGTGTCCCTTGGCCAATTCTTCTTCCACCAATTTTTCTAGTGCCCTGAGTTTCTGTTTGCTGAGAGGCCACTGGTTTACTGAAATTGGATTATTATCTAACCAAGATAACTTTTGGACAGCATGCTCTACAGTGGCCTCCATCAAAAATCCTGAGGTGTCTCAGGAATTGTTAATTTCACTCCCCACTGGGACATGGTGTCTCTTCCCCACACTTGTAGTCAGTGACAAAAGGTTGGACACTAGCTATCCTACCCTCCAGGCCTTCAATCTGGACGATATCTTTAGTGATTTTTGCCAGTTTCATCTTTCCAACACCCTGTATTTTTCCTGCCACGGGTTGCAGTTCCCAATGTGAGGGTGACACCTTTTCAGGTATGACAGTCACATCTGCCCCAGTGTCAATTAACCCTTCTACATGGAGATGCTATGATTTATGTGTCAAGTTACACCCCATAATGGGTTAGTCTTCACCCACCACTTCTGCCCAGTAGACTCCTGGTGCTTTGTCATCTACTGGGACTTCTGTTGGAACAGGGATCACTTGGGCTATTATCTGCCCTTTGGCTACATTGAAAGGTTGTTGAGGACATCTTGCCAAGAGAGTGAGGTGTGTTAGGTCTCCCTTAATTGGGAGCTACCTCAATCTCTATTGGTGTGTGTGCTGTGTCTCCAATAACAAAATACCTATTATCCAGTTCAGCCAGGTCTTGTGAATTGTCCTGCAAGTCCACTCCAATGACAGTCCAATAATTAGATCTGAAACAAAAAGCTTTAGCAGTTACAAGTCTGAATTGCTTTTGCATTTGCCAGATCTTATTAGGCAAACGTTCCCCACAATTATGTTCCTGCAGTCTCTCACCCCGCTCCCTTTTCTCCCCTTTTCCTATTAAAATGGAGTCTTTTTCCTGTTTCAGATCTGTCATTTTTATGTCTCTGCACTTGACAGAAAAGCGCTTAGAATTCAGGTTTTTTTATTTGCTACAGCTTCTTTCTGGTGTTTCCCTTGTTGCTGGGTTTGAGGACAGTTCCTTGAGAAATGTCCTCAAACCCAGCTTCTTGCACTGGAAGCAGATGACGTGCTGCAGCTGTTCTGGTGACATCTGTGGCTTGTTCATCCCAGGTGTCACAACTGCTACAGTCCTTGGGTTGTATGGTCCTGGTTTCTTGTCATGTGCACTGATCTGCTTTCTTGGCACACGCTTGTATCATATCTGCTTGGTAGGTGGAGGATAGATGGGCAGATTTAGGATCACTTTACAGCAGGCCTCGTTGGCATTTCTTTGTGCCATTTCTTTAATCAATTCTGCTTGTGCTGCTGGTTCTTGCACTTGCTGTTGTATCTGTAACCTTAGACAATCTACAAACTGCAAGAAACTCTCTTATTGTTGGTTAATATTAACATAACTGTCTTGGGTTTCTAGTGTAGGTATTTTATTGTAAGCTTTTTCTGCTACTTCACAGATTTTATCTAAAACAGGTTTTGTTAGCACTTGAACCTGATCTTCAGGCTTAGACCACCTTCCCTCCCCACATAGGTGTTCAAAAGTAATCTCATTATTTTCTGCATCTTTTACATCCTGTATGCTTTGCTTGAGTTCATCTAGGAGGTCTTTCAATGACCTTTTCCACAAACTTTCCCAAAAATCAAATTCAGTGGGTGTTAGGAGGCACCTGAAGAAATCTTTGATGTCAGCAGAAACTAACTCCTGAGATTTTAAAGTAGCTTTAATCATGCTTTTTTAATATTTCACTATTTTTGCCAAATTTACGTTGTATTTTACATATCTCTCTGATATCATGGTAAGCGAAAGGCTGATATTGTCTATTAGCTCTTTTCTTACCAGTAAGTATCACAGGTGCTGCTGTAGGTATATCTTTATCTTCCCCAGAGCCTGTATTTCTGGGGTCTCCCTGCCCAACCCCACCCCCCACCAGGCAATGGGGGCTTTGTCTCACCCCCGGGCAGGTGAAGGGCCCTATCTGCCCCTGCAGGGGACCCAGGGGGCCCTGCATCACTCCCGGGCCGGTGAAGGGATATATCTACAGCCCCAGCAGGCCCAGGGGGCCGTGCCTCAGCCCCAGCTGGGTGGAGTGTCTCACCCACACCCCCACAGGGGCTGGGCAGGGACACTTCTCCCCTCCCCGGGGAGCAGGGCCAGGACACCCCTTCCCCCACCCCCCCATGGGAGCAGGGGGCAGGGCCACCCCTCTCACTCTCCCCGACCCGGTGGGACAGGAGGCAGGGGTGTGGAGAGCAAGATTGCAACATTTGGGGATGTATTTGTAAGGCGATGCCATGCTTGAGCAGGGTATTGCAGGAGGGAGGGAGATGTGAGAGAGAGGGAAGGGGTTATGGGCGGAGTGAGGGAAATGGGCGGAGGGAGGTGGATAGAGGGAGTCATGGGAAGGGGGAGGGAGATACGAGGGGGGTTCTTCCACATGGGTATCTAGCACATGGCTAACTCCATTTTGGATTTTAGGCACGTGGAGGCACGGGGTTGGAATATTAGGACATAGGTAAGAATCTCTGGTAGTTTTCGCAACACTATCAGAGCTGGGGGTCTGAATGAGACACATGGCTCCAGAAATGGCACTATTGCAGTTTCTTGAGTTTCTGGATTTGTTTCATGTATCTTTTTCAGCACAGGAGCAGAAGGTAAAAGGGTATGGGATATTGATGAAGGCTGCAATGGCTGGTTTTTTTATGTCTTTTTGTCTGTTGATCAATTCTTTTTGAATTACAAGAAAAATTGGAAGATATTTTGAAGCATTTTTGTCTCCTTCCTCTATTTTTTGAGTGAGAATATTGCCAATTTGATTCCCTGTAGAGGTAGAATTTAGTTCTGACCAATCTAGCTGTGGATTGTTATGAGATAACCGCTCTGTGAAACATTTTAACTTTTTCCTAGAGATTTTAACATTTATAGTACTTAAAAATTCTTGCAATTTGGATTCTAATTTTGGTTGGGGTGTAGATGTGTTAGATCCCATGCCTGTTCTTAAAATTGTGTTTTCAAAACTCGTTTTTATCTTGTTTTACTGCAAAGTAACAAAGCGGTGCAAAGGCAGACTTTTTTACTACCCACCCCCCCACACACACTGGGTTGAGATAAGCTCTCACGGCTGTCGCTGCTGTGCCGCGCAGTCTTCCCACGAAACATGCCATGGCCGGCTCCGCGCAGGCACCGCGGCTAAGTCCCCGTGCTGCGCGGGGGGACCTTCCTGCGCCACGGCCACTGGGGCTGCCGCCACCAGTTGGCCCGCCGCCACCACCTGCCAGCCTGCCGCCGCCGCCACTGGCTTGTGTGCACACTCACCTGATCCCAGCTCGGCTCCTGCACGTCTTCACCTGCTGAGCCGGCTGGCCTGACTCACCATTCTTACATTGCCAACCAGTAGAAACGTGTCCTGTGTGGATTGGGTTCCCCTGGACGTGAGGAAGTTACCAATCCAGTCCTTGTAAACTATAATCTTAGCTTTTCAAGGTAGCTGATGTGCCCAGGCTTGCGAGTCACCTGTGTTTCCAGTCGGTTTTAGGGGGTCGAACCCACCTTGAGACCTGCTATTGTAACTCTGTCCCCAGCCTCTCTGTTACCACTGTCCATCTCGCAGCGGGCAGGGAGGCTGGGGAGGTAGTTTTAGCTTGCCAGATGAGGCCCTAAAAATGAGGCTCTTTCCCTTTGCTGAGATGGCAGTTGCAGCTTTATTTCTTGGGATCCTTTGGGGTGAGATGGCAGGAGGGAAAGAGGAAGAGGTATTGAGAGGCACCCCTTTTTCAAGGCAGGGGAAAGGGATGTGGGGGAATTTACACAACCAATAAGGGGAGCTGGGGAGAACAAGATAAGGGAAAGAACTTCCAAGTCTACATTTTTGGGGTTACACTCTTTGGGTCATACCATTTTTCCTAACTGCATTACAACAGTTTTAAGGTCCAAATAGTTGAAGCTCCAGATGTACTGTTTAAGCAGGTGAAATTCTATCAGTTGAAAATGTTGATCCTTAACATTATTGGATTTTCTTTCAAATCCTGAAACGGGGAGTAACTGAAGAAAATAGAGACACAACATTATGATAATAACATAAAACTCCTGTTGTCAAACTGTGTAGTTTTCAGACATAGCTGTGTCCCAGCAGTTCCACTTCTGGTCTTGTTTTGAATACTAAAACTGTATGGTGACTTCTCCACTCACTGGGTCTTATGTTTTTGGAGGCAGTTGGTGTCTGGTCAGATGAATAGGTGACTCTTTGGAACCTGTCAACAAAACATAGTCACTTCTCCCCTATATGTTAATGAATTATTTTGGCTTAGCTTACACTTAATTGTGAATTCAGATTTTATGGTATTTTCTAAATTTTTGGTATAAATATTTCATTATTCAAAATGAATCGTGGTCTAAATTTCTAATGCACATACTACATTAATTGAATGTTCTTAGGGCATCAATTCCTTCAGTTTTTAAAAGTGAGATGTACTTTTATCATGCATATGAATATCAACACAAAACTATACACATAATGAACAAAAACTTACAGTTAGAAATTAATTAGATAATAAATATTATTAATAATATATGTGATATAGAATTACTGTTAATCACTAAAACACTACCACCATCTCAGAGTCTGCAAACATCTGATAAATCTCAAATCAGGGAAGGATTGGATAACCACCTCCGGAAATGATTCTCCAAGCCCACTTCAAAATTGATCCAGCTGTCATATTAATAGGGTAAAATTGCCAAGTCAAAAATGACTTAAACATTGATTCAGTACAGAAAATATTTGGATCTGTTGGCAAACATTCCATCCAGGTAAAGTCAAGGTCTGGCCAGGGCCTTAGGCTTTAAACTGGAAAGATGTCTCTTAACTCATTTTCAAAACAAGGTTCTTAATAATAGCAGCTGTGAGATGCTTAAAGCACAGCAAACTGTTGAAGTGCATTTGTGTAAAGCAGATGATCAGAAGACTTAGCAACAGACTAATAGAACTATCTAGCAGTTGGTTTAATCTGAAGTTTCTGTCACCATAGCTGACTTTCAGCAACGATAGATTTTTCTGGAACTCTGGAAGCACTGAAAAACAATAAAGCTACACTGGATTAGGCAGTAACAAGCCTTCTTAAACAAGTGAAGGAGTTAAAAAGCAAGAAAATCCTGTACAGGAAAAGCTGTATAACTTACTTACAGAGATGCATCTGCAGTTAGAAAACAAAAATACCTCAAATGATACATGTCTTAAAGGTAATTACCCAAAAATTGTAAATAATATGAAAAGTTGGCTATAAATATAGTAATAATACTTTATGAATGATGCTCGTCATAAAATCTGTAAATTCACATCATTCAACATCATGAATATATCAGCAGTGTCTGAGGAAGTTAAGATAGTATTTTCAAAACATTCATGTCTCAGTGGCAAGAAGTGAAATAAGGTAAAAACTTTTAAACTTACTAGTATTAATAACAGTCACTACTCTTCCATGTTACCTATAAAAAACAAAACCAGTAGAGGTTGTAACAAATAATTAAACCTTTAATGAAATATGAAGAATGCAATAGACTGTTTCTTCTTCTATCCAGAAGCAGGTGTTTATCAGTGTTCCATCACAGCTGTTTCAGTAATAGTCATCCTCATCTCTCTAGGAAAATAACTATACTTTGCAGTTTAGACAAGTGTCTTCTAACAAAACGTGAGACAATTTAAATTTCAAACGTGGTAGAAATTAATTTTGATGAAAGGAAATAACAAAACTTAACCTCAAAAGAATACCAAAGTGATAAAACCTGACTTAAGAACACTCAGACCTAAACACAGTGAAACTTAACTTTGCTTAATTCTATCAAGACTTATTCTGGATCAAATAAAAACATAACTCACTCTATTATTACAAAAAAGGCAACTGAAAGTTTGGTATATACCTTTTAAACATATTACTACATAATATATAAATATAAATATAAATATAAATATAAATATACATTTGTTGATGGTTAGGTGTCCTTCCTTTAGTTCTGTCTCACTTACGGAATTTTTACCCATTAGTTGCGGGGAAAACCTGGTTGCTAGTACTGAGTGGGTGCTTGAGAAACACAAAGAGTTTGGCTGGGCCCCGGAGGGAAGGGGGGCAGGAAAAAAAGGAGGGTGGGAGCAGCTTGCTGATTTCTTCAGCTTCAGAGAAGGACACTTTGCTGGGAGCTGTTGTGGTGGAGAGAAGGGAATTCGCCATTACCCAGACGGAGCTGCTGCTGCTGCTGCTTCTTCTCCTTCTTCCTTCTTCGCTGGTGGCCTCGCACCCCCTGTCCTGCCAGGATGTGTGGCAGTGCCAGCCACCGCAGCAGAGCTGCTGATACACCTCAGCCACTGGCCCAGGATCTCAGCTCGTCCCTGCTGTTCCAGCCGACTGTTCCTCGGAGCCCTGCAGGAGCACCGGGACTGACTGCCCGAGGGGGTTTGTGAATCAGAGCCTCTCCTCCCTCCTTTCCCATCTCAGCTGAGAAGACTGTCATGAGGTCCCTGGTTCTGATTTGTTGTTAATGCTGTAGTTATTGTTTGCTTGCCTTGTTATATGTAGTAGTAAAGAACTGTTATTCCTATCCCCAGATCTCTGCCTGAGAGCCCCTTGATTTCAAAATTACAATAATTCGGCGGGAGTGGGTGGGTCTACATTCTCATTCCAAGGAAGGCTTCTTCCCTCCCTAGCAAACACCTGTCTTCAAAACTGGGGCAACATTATATGTTACTATATATTTTATATGTATAATTTTAGACAAATGTTATTATATAATTATTCTTAAACATAACACGGATTTACTATAGAGATTATAAAGATGTAACAAATACATTGTGATTTTATGTAATTTGGCCTTGAGAATAACTCATTATAACTGTAGATGTTACGGAAAATACTCATTTGTAATGGGAATTTGCCTGGTACAGGTTTATTAGGATTTTCAAAGTGCAGTTTCACTAGAGAAAAACTAAAACAGCACAGGATTTGGCAAATCCCCATTCATCTTTTGTAGCACTTTTCAGAAACATCAAGTCCAATTTTTAATTAACATCTGAAGTCCAAATAGGTATATGTTATGAACGCACTCAAGAGAGTGATATGGTAAAAAAAATTTATTAATTACAACAAGCAAGCAATAAGCAAAAAAATCAGCGCTGGACGGCAGGGGAGTCTCTGCTCCATCGGCTGCCGCGCTTCCGATTTTCGTGTTCTCCCTTTTAAGTGGTCCGACTTCCGGGTTACGTGTCCTTTCTCGGGTGTCTCTGCGCATGTGCCTCCGGTCACTGGTGGTCGCTTTCTGCCTTCTGGTGGTCTCAGGATGAAGATCAGGAGTCTTCCTCTTTTGACCTTTCTTCACTGTTCTCCTTTTAAGGCTTATCTGAGTGGCTTAACTTTCTGGAATTCAAGAGAGCTTGCAAGGCTGTTTTTTTATAATTATACAAATGTCAGCAGCAGCCTTCAACTTCATCCCTATTTCACAAAGCATAGTTTTGCAAAGCATCGTATCTTGCATGTTTAGGCGAACAAAAGGGTCTCTATTTACCACAGTATATGCACTGTCACATATGTTTTTTATAGCAAAAAGATTTACATTGAAATAACCTTATTAAAATTGTGGAAAAAACAAGCAAACAGCTAATATATGGTTAATTTAACTTTGTCTTCTGGTGCAGTGAAGTTTTCCTAGCTAATATTTTTTTAAACCATGAATATCTTCTGTAGATAACTGGATAGATTAGATTAAATTAGATTAGATTAGGTTAGATTAGATTAGATTAGATTAGATTAGATTAGATTAGATTAATTGGAAGGTTGTTTTATCAGTAGTTGTAAATCACTCAATATTTTGACATTAGGTTTTAAAATTAATTATTGCAAGGTAACTTTTTAATTCTGTTAATATTTACTCTAAACTTTTCTAAAGAGGGGTTTTTTGAATTTTCTAAGGAGTTGTAGTAATTTCTCCAGTAAAACTGTAAAACCACAAAAACTCATAATTACTTAAAAACACAAAATTAACTCTAAAAAGGTACATAAAGGCATTCTAAGAAAACAACAGATCATCACTTTTTAACAAACTGGGTACTATCCCAGTGCTTTTTCTTGGAGAGGGAGCCGGGGGCTTCACTCCCTGCTCTGCTGCTGTTATCTCTAGAAGGTTCAAGCGTATTCTTCACCATCCCCTACATACTCTTGCAGAGGGGAAAAACAGAGAGAAAAAAACCCTCGTTAACTTTAACAGAGTTTTTTCTCTCAGATACTCTTGTCTCATTGTTTATAGACAGAGGGAAAAGGACATGATTTTACAAAAACAGGCAATGTTAAGCGAAGAGCCTCTATGGGCCAGGTGGTAGCAGTGACAGCCTTTGCAGCTTATCAATCTTTAAGTACAGTAATGAATTTCAAGCTAGATGCCATGTAGTTGGTGATTTTTTGGCTATTTTGTCTCCCTTTACAACTGCCTGAGCCTCCCTGGCTCTGGCCAACTGTTTCTGTAATTGCTGATATTTGTCCAGTGTGGCCTTGGAGCTTCTTCTGCAGCAGTTCCACCATGGGGATGCCTCTGCTCTCTGTGCACACTCCAACACTCCCCCATTTCCCCTGGCACCCCATCTGGGTCGGGTGAAAACTGATCTAAAACTGGCTCCTCTTCAAAGGTAGGGTTAATATCTTGCTTCTGTATGTCCACAATCAGTTTAATAGCACTGGATATC